GGGGAAATGTTCCCCAATTTTCCCCATTAAAAATGAGATTGCTTGTGGGTTTTTCACATATATATTGTCTTGATTGTGCTGAGGAATAGTCCTTCTACATCCAATTTGCTTAAGATTCTTAAAAATTTTTTATCATGAAAGGATATTGTATTTCATCAAATACTTTATATCAACTGCTTAAATCATGCTGTTTTTTAATTTTTCAATTTGTTAGTGTAATATATCAGGTTTATGGATGCGCATATGTTGAACCATTCCTGAAAACAGGGATAAACCCCACTTGGTGTGAGTGAATGACCTTTCCGAGGTATGGTTAGATTTCATTAGCTGGTATTTTGTTGAGGAGTTTTGCATCTACATTTATCAGGGATACTGCTTTATAGTTCTTAATTTACACCATTTTTCATATTCTTTTTAAAAAACATAGTTCTCTTTCTTTACTGTTTCTTTTTCTGGTTTTGGAAATAAGGTCATAGTGACCTCATACAAAAAGTTTGGAAGAATTCCCTTCTTTTTGGTTGTTTTGAATAGTCTGAGAAGATTTGGAATTAGGCCTTTCTTAAAATTCTGGTACAATTCAGCAGTGAAGCCATCTGGTCCTAGGCATTTCTCTGTTGGGAGAGTCTTTCCTGACTCAATCTCTACCCCAGTTATTGGTTACTGTTTTTTCAATCAGTAGAGTTAGCCTGAGAAAGAGCTATGCTTAACAAGGGATAGATATTCCTAACTGCTAAATATTGCCCCTTGATGAAGATAATAATAGCAGGAGATTTTTTAACAGAGGAGGAAGTACAGTAAAAGAAGGAAAAAGAGTAGGAAAAAAAGAGAACACCAGTAGTGTTTTCATCATAATCTGCAATCGTGGTAGATTTTATCCTTACTGTTACTAATGTTATTACAATAGTGATATTAAAAAAAATCATGTACTGAGTTACTATTATCTACCAAATGTCATGCAAGTCACTTATACATGGAATTGTTTGATTTGTGCAGCATCCTTATGGAGTAGTATTTACTTTGGCTTCACAAAAAGAACAAGGGTGTGGGGAATATCCAGTCTACAATCTATGGAAGGTCTGCAAATCATTTCATTCAAACATTAAAAGATCTATCTGTGTATGTGTTTACATGCATGTACACATTTAATCTACAATTTGACTTACAATAATCCTAAAACTATTTTGTTGTTAAAAAATACTTTGTGCTGGAGGAGGGGAATGGAGGCAATCAAAAGGCAAGCAAACAAGCAAACAAACAAAAACAATTCTACATTATGTCTCCTGTAACATGCCTCAGAGAACAATCTACTGGAATATCCAGTCAAAACAGAATTGATGCATGGAGAAAACAAGTCAAAATAATAAATGGCTGTTTAGTTGTCTCATCGCTAAGGTACAATTAACTTCTTGATAATGAGAAATCTGAGACATTGTATCATTTCCCACTTATTTGTGCAAAGCTTCAAAGTAACTGAAGAAAAATAAATAATTCATTATGGATCTATGAACATACAAGCTTACAAAATAATTCAAAATCAGAAATTCAAGGACGGAAATATCATTCACTACTGATGTGATAGCAAAATAGTATGAACTTCCTTGTGGCAATTTACAAACACATATTAAAAACCTTTGCTCATCTGTTCTTCCCAGAAGTATTTATCCCAAGAAAGCAATAAGAAATTTGGTTAGCACTCCTGCACATCGAAGTTCTCTACATTATTTATAACATTATATAATAGAACATACTCTTTATGACCAAAAGTATTGTTAACAGCCCCAATGCTAAAGAGCTATTGTATAATTTATCATATATTTGATAGAACACTGATTCTATTAATATTTGCCTTATTCATAAAGGTCAGACTAACAATGCTGCAAACAAAGTAGAAAATAAATCTAGAAGCAAATGTGCCAAAGCAGTGTTTTATTCTAACTTGTAAAATGATGTGTGCATGCTTTTTCTCTGGTTGTAACAATTATATCAGTCATATATACTACATTGAGCATTTACTACTTTTTTGATCAGAAATGAGAAAGAAAAATCGAAAGAGAAAAAAAATAAAGTAGAAGGAAGAAGAGTTCTTGTAGTCCAGACATACAATGTAATTTCCCCCTATTGGTGAATATTTAAATAGGCAGATTTACTTTCTCATCACACAAGTGGTTTACTGTATCGATAATAAATTTCCACATAGGAATTTTTAATATCAATTTCAAGGAAAAAATGACTTTCCCATAAGGCATCAGGATGTTTAGTTTTCATGAATTCCTATAAATACACCGCTTATCAACTACTTGTTGGAGATTAATGTATCAGTTTTGGGACACAGTACCATGTTGCAAACTTAGATTACTTCCTAAGAAACTCAAGGCAAATAATTCAAAATCTAGACCCACTTATATACAATATTTGATGCTGCATTTTTTTTTAACAGAGGGCTCCTGTGATGACTAATCTTGTGTTTGTCTGTTAGGAGCCCTAAATGTGATTCTTGACTAGATTGCATTCACATAACTCTTATTTCAATGGAAATTGCAGAGATGGAAAAGTTTATAGGAAGAATCATGATCAAAGAAGTCAAATTCAATACTAACACTACTCTTGTTCTTGAAAATAACCATGAAAATAAATATCCTGTGAGCTAGGGACACGTCGATCTATCTATATCCATACCTAGATGTAGATATAAAATCTTTCCAGCAGAGTCTTACATTTTCTTGAGATACATTTCCTTAACTATATAATGTGATTACAGTTGGTGAGGCAATGGTCCACTTAAAACTGATAAAGTACCAGGCTTCAAGAAATCAGGTAAGCTGGTCTGTGGTTTCCAAATATAACAACGGCAGGATAATACTGGATTTGTAGATAGAACTCAGAGAGACAAAGATATTAGTTCCAACAACTTTAAAATTTAACTATTCCAATTCTCTTTACTAAAAGGCATTTATTTTTGCTTATTTTGCTGACAGACAATTTGACACATAAATCTGACGTAGGATCTTGCAAACACATTTTAAACAACAAAAGGACACATATACATCTAGCAATTCAGAAGAGCAAAAAAGAAACTTAGGAATATGTGAATAATTGTTCTCAAGTAGTGCAACAGAAGGAACATATTTACCTTCTTTGGGCATCTAACACTTCTCTTCCTGACTTGGATAAGATATACAAGATTTAAAGAGAATAAAGAAAAGAAAAATACAACTAGATCAGGAATTTAATGCGACTTAAATTTTTTTTTTAAGTATAGTTTCAAATCTTCTGCTAATTCTGCTTAGCCAAGAGTATAATGAGGATACATAATTCTGTTGTATGGAAAATAATCAGCTCCATTTCTAAAGAGCTGGTTGGTTCCTGGATGCAGTAAGCAAGCTGAAGAACGCGTACATATTGTGCAAGAGGAGGAAAAGCGGAACCAGTTTTCTGAATTTAGAAACTGTGGCAGATTATATTGCTTTAAAGAGAATACATTCTTCATACAAATTCACTAAACTCTTTCAAAATATTTTTCAGAGATGTGTATGTATATGATAACCAAAGTTAGTTTCCTAAGAAAGGACCATCAACTGGAGAATAGGGCAGGTTGCTGTGTTTCCTTTCTAGTGACATGTAACAGAGAGACCATTAAGAGCCCCAAATTTAAAATGCCAAAATTTAATCTAGGACCTGGGCTAAAGCCTCTTTTTGTGAGTTATACTATCGGGCAACATAGATTTGGGTAACAGCTCAGGATTATCGATTGTCCTTGTCGAAAGGAAGGACAATGCCCTGGGGAAGATACATTTTTCTAAAGTCAAAAAAGAAAATGCTGATATCATTATTACCATGTAAAACAACAATAAAAAAGAACTGCGTTATGAGAGAGCAAGAAACAAAGTTTGAGAGATTAATTTTTTTGAGATTTAACTCTTTTTTTTCTCCATTTTGTCCTAAGATGATGAGATGAGTCATATTGCATAAATGATGCTTATGGTCCTCTGCATTTTATTTCTTCCATTTACCCCTGAAATATCTAAAAACATTATAGGTAGCCAGTTCTTAGAAATGCAGAGAATTAGGACAATCTGTATTGAAGCAAAGTGTCTTCCCTTCAAAGTCACTTTGCTTAAGCCAGCATACCAGTAAGAGTACTGTACTGAAATTCAGAGTTCCTAAAATTCAGACAAGACCACTGTTTAATATGATAGTAGTGGCTAAAATAAATGGACAGAAGCAAGCAATCAGGTGAAAATCAAGCAGGTTGGAATTACTCAGGATAAAACAATAAGTATACTCTCTGCCTGCTCGTGCACACACTGGGGCTGAGGGTGAATTTGACAGGAAACTCTGTGAAGCATCCCCTAGGTCATAACATGTACAGGTGTGCACTAGGACTACAAGTGGGCCAGGCCAAGCTAGGGCACAGCATCCACTGGCTCACATAAAAGAGCTGGAGGCAAGCTGGGCTAGGCCAGGCTGCAACAATCACCAACACAAGTGAGACCAGGGATGAGGGCATCTTGGCAGGGATTCTTTGGGGTCTCCCCAAATGGGCCATAACAACAGTTAGTGCTTGGAGAGGCTGAATTGGGGCTGACCAGTCCAGGCTAGACCTCAGCATCCACCTGCAGGCATGAAATCTGTGGTTTAGGGCAGGCCAGGTAGGGGGTTCTTCAGGACCTAGAGGAAGTTCTGAGCTGGGTTAGGCCACAGCATCAGTCAGTTCACTTTAGAGTCAGAGTGGTGTCTCCCAAGGAAAACTGTCAAGTTATATTAGCATTTCAATAAACAAAGAGTACTTTCAGATAAAATAATTGTGTATCTAACAACCATCAACTCATAAAAATTAACCAAAGTGTACCCATTTTTCTGTCTTTCGAAACAAAATTACCATTACGATACATAAGAAGAAAATATTCATAATTATAGCCATTATTGTTACATCCCTAATTGAAAACAAAAGCATATTCTTCCTAGCAAACACACTTAACACGCCCCATGATCTCCCTTACCTGTGATTCTTTCACATTTTCAACAGTGAAGTTGAACCAGACACGGAAGCGTGGATTACAGGTATCCGGTCTAATGAAGAGATCATACTCAAACTCAGAGACCTGGTCCACCCGGCCAAGGTTACCTGTTAATAAAAATGTTAAAAAAATTGTGCCTTATGAAAAGTTTTTTCAGAACAATAGTACGTACATTTAAATATTGTGAGCTCAGACAGTGGCATTTGTCATCACTTAGTACTGGTGGTTTGAATATTCTTGATCCGCAAGGGTTCCTTTCAGCTGTGAGTGCAGCCCAGTGTCAGGAAGGCTTCTGGCTAATCCAAGCTGTGATATGTGCCAATATGCTTTGCTGTTAGGAACCAGATCCTGTGTGCTACAAGTTTTTTGACAGACTGGGATGCAGAAAGGATCTGGTGGTTAAATAAACCAGGAGAAGAACTCGAACTTCAGTTCCCTAGTTAGAAAACTGAGGATGATAATGTATTTCCTGTTAAGCTTTGTCTACCCAGAGTACCCCTAATATACTGGATCTTGTTTAATTCTCACAACAGTTTGCACTGTTGTTTCTACTGTGCTTCTTATATGTCAAAATGTCTATAAGAGTATGCTACAGAATATAGATAGTTTGGTTGTAAGCAAAATAATCAGTTAACATGGGAATTATAAAGTCAATTCACAATCATAAAACTACACGCCTATTTTCTCGATGAAGAGAAAAGTTATAGGACATTGTATAAACTTTGGTGTCACCTCCATTCCTTATCTTCTCTCTTTGCCTGATACTTCAATGAATAGTGAATAAAACAAAATGTGAACAGTGGAATGGAAAGGGAAGTTTTAAAAAAGAATCTAGTGGAGGTCATTGCTGTGTGGCACAGTCGGTAAAGCCACCACCTGCAAGCACTGGCATCGTGTACGGGCTCTGGTTTCTGCTCTAGCTGCTTCACTTCTGACCCAGCATGGTGTTAATGCTCCTGAAAAAAGCAGCAGAATATAGCCGAAATACTTGAGTCCCTGCCACCTCTTTGTGAGACCTGGATAGAATTTCAGGCCCCGTGGCTACTTTTGAATTTCTCTCTCTGATTCTCACTGTGTGTGTGTGTGTGTGTGTGTGTGTGTGTGTGTGTGTGTCTGTTTATTTCTCTGTAACTCTATTTTTCAAGTAAATAAAATAAAGATTAAATTCAAGAAAGAAACCGATCAATTCCTTAAAACAAATGACAACTAAAGACGTGTCAAGATGACCAGAAACCATCAAAATCATCCCTGGAAAGATGTTATTGTGTTGATATTTAATAGCATGGAAATACCTTGCTATAAAATGAACTCTAACAGCTACTCCTTCACTTGCAACACAGGCATCACATGTGGATGCCAATTCAAGTCCCAGCTTCCTGCTTTGGGCTGGGAAAGCAGAGCAGGGTGGCTCAAAGCCTTGAACCCCTGTACTGCTGTGGCAGACCCATAAGAAGAAACTCCTGGCACCCAACCATAGCTGTTGTGAATATTTGTGTGTAAACCAGTGGATGGAAGAAATCTCTATGTGTGTCTTCCTTTGTCTCAGTAGCTTGACTTTTAAAAAAAATACACCTTCCAAAATTTTTTAAATGAACTCTAGTGCGTCCGACTGAAAAAAAAAAAACACTCAAAAAAGAAATTTTGGCTAGACATTTATAAAATACCTCCTTTTTAATTTATCGGTATAGTATGTGCTTTCCTGAGCACCACACTGTGCTATATACAGATTAAATCCTAGCCTCAGAATCGATGGAATGAGATTCTAGTTCAGTTGGGTAAGCTATTTACCCTCTCAGAATTGCAACCAGAAAAAGGGAACACTGTGTTATTTAACCTCTAAGATTATTTCAGCTGTAACATTGTCAGGTTGCTGATTTTAAGATTGATCAGGCAGTAATCTGGAGCAAGACAACCACTCCAACCTTTGAAAATACATCAATTAACCAGACCAGCTAACTCGCTTTGCATGCACAGGGATCCCATACGGGTGCCTGTTCTAATCCTGGCTTCCAGCTTGTGACCTGGGAAAGCAGTAAGAGGACAGCCCAAAGCCTTGGGACCCTGCTTCCATGTGGGAGACCCAGAAGGGGCTCTGGGCTCCTAACTTCAGACTGGCTCAGCTCTGACCCTTGTGGCTACTTGGGCAATGAATTAGGAGACACAAGATTTTCCTGTCTGTCTTTCCTAATCTCTATATGTCAAATTGCTTTAATATGTTCTCATTAAAATTTGGCCTGAGAAGTCAGATTTAATTTTATTTCCAAAATCAGAAAAGTTACTTCCAGTTAACTACAAACATAAAAACTTGCAGGGCCTGGTGTGACAGTGTAGTGGTTAAAGTTCTCGCCTTGCACGCACCAGGATCCCATATGGGCACTGGCTCTAATCCCAGTGGCCCTGCTTCCCATCCTGCTCCCTGCTTGTGACCTGGGAAAGCAGTCAAGAACAGCCCAATGCCTTGGAACCTGCACCCATGTGGGAAACCCGGAAGAGCTCCTGTCTCCTGGCTTCAGATCGGCGCAGCACCAGCCGTTGCGGTCACTTGGGGAGTGAATCATTGGACAAAAGATCTTCCTCTCTGTCTCTCCTCCTCTCTGCATATCTGATTTTCTCATAAAAATAAATAAATCTTTTAAAAAAATAAAGACTTGCATTGATATAAAAGAACAAATATGAAGTAATTAGGATCAAACACTTTCATCTTAATATTTCCACTTTAAATTGTACCCAAAAATTTCAAGGGGATTATTCAAATAACTTACTTCTGTACCATCATCCAAAAAGAAAAGTTTACTAAGTCTTCTGTTTTACCGTTCTGCAAGATAGTTACTACACAAAGGAACTGAACTTGAAGTCAGAAAATATAGGATAACTTTAATTCTGCAACTTAATGAGTGTTCTTGCGAAATTCACTTAACTTTCCAAACTATACAGTAAGAATCATACCAATAGAGACATGAATTTTATTTTTATGTAAATTGGTAGTTTAACATAACATTGTAAAATGTTTGTATAAGAATGAAACTAAAGGTAAGCTTCTTATAGTGTTTAAAAAATTTTTTTTGAAGCACAGGGGATTGGCACCATGGCATAACAAGTTAAGCTTCCAGCTGTGGTGTCAGCATCCCTTTTGAGTCCTGGCTGCTCTGCTTCCTCCAATTCCTTGTTATAGCCTGAGAAAGCAGTGGAAGATAGAGCCCTGCACTCCCATGAAGACCAGGAAGAAGCTCCTGGCTCCCAGTTTTGGGTAGGCTGAGCTCTGGCCTTTTAGGCCACTGCAGGCATTTGAAGTAAACCAGTGGATGGAAGATATCTGTCTTTTCTTCTCCCTCAATAATTCTACATTTAAAAAGAGATTAATGTATATTTTTTTCACAACACACATTTCCATGAGCTTTTTAAAACCCATGGTAAATTTAATTTTAATTGAATTTAACTTATTTAAAAGTAACCCCTGTGAGTTAGGCACTGTTATCATCCACATTTAACAAAGTAAGAATTTAGTAAATCATAAAATAACTCTCCTAAAAATAAGTTTAAAAAGGTACTTTTCTACCCTCAAAAATTCACAATCTAAAAATTTAAACATACATTTCAATATTCAAGTGAAATTTTTGGGTTTTTTTGTAATACTAGAACAAGATAAACAGGTCTTGACAAATAATAATATGATAATATGTTTTAACATTGGTGCAACATATAGCACTTAAAAAATATAATGTGCCTAGAAATTCACACTTTCAAGATAATTTGATACCCTTTATAATATGAAGCCCTTAAACAGGTTATAAACTGATGCCCAGAAATAAGTGTTTATTTAAATTCATGGTTTAAAAAGCCCAGGGTATAAAGTTTTAGACTTCTTATTCCATTTAGTCAATCTTTAGAATATATCTTAACTATATCTAGTTCATTTCTTTAGCTGTTCAGTCAGTCACTCAAAAAGTAGCATGTTATGTGTTATTCAATAATTCATTTAGTGAGTCAAAAAGATACTGTATTTATACTCACTAACTTTATTCTCTCAAAGTGTAACAAATATGCTGTCTGGTTTCCCTGTAACTATTAGGCTGATCATCATGGTCATTCTTATGGCCAAGTACTCTTAGTATCTCTGTGTTGATACACAATGCTTCACTCATATTATCTGAAATATTTAAAGTAAGTATCACTGCACAGCCTACTGAAAACATCTGTTTGAAAATCAGCTCACAATGCCTCTATATCTGCCAGTCTACTTCCACTGAAATAAAAAGACAGGAAAGAAACTAAAAGAAAATCTACAAGCTACAAAACAAGTGAAAAATAAAGGCAAGATGTAGATGTTAAATTAAAAACATCACTAAAAACTGAAATTTAAATACATTAAATATTAGAATAAAGACAAAATGGATTCATCTAAAGTATATTGTGCTAAAAAAAAAAGCCAGATAAAGAGGAAAATAATATTATAAAATATTGATTCAATAGTAAATAACAAATGATCACCACATTAAAGGGAAAAAAAGAACGGTGCCTACCAGGGCTGATGCATGAGAAAAAGAAATATAACATTAAATGCCATGGATACAAGGTTGCAGCTGCAGAAAATAAGTAAGTCTAAATATGTAAACTATAGCATGAGAAATATAATACTGAGTTATTTATTGGAAACTTACTGAAAGAGTAGATTTAAGATATTCTTATCACATTTACACATTGAAAAGGTGATAAACTGTGTGCAATGTAAAGTATCTGATTTTGTTAACATGCCTATGCTACACAGCTTAGCAGTTAGTAGGGCAACAACTTAAAATGATATCTTACAGACTTAAAACAGACATCCTTATCACCTGTCCATATTATAGACATATAATAGACTTAAAAAGTGACATGAGGGCCCAGCACAGTAACCTAGCAGCTAAAGTCCTCACCTTGAACGTGCCAGGATCCCATATGAGCACTGATTCTAATCCCAGGAGCCGCACTTCCCACTCAGCTCTCTGCTTGTGGCCTGGGAAAGCAGTCCAGGATGACCCAATGCCTTGGAACCCTGCACCCACATGGGAAGCCCAGAAGAGGCTCCTGCCTCCTGGCTTTGGCGCAGCTCCAAACATTGTGGCTGTGT